TCCCCGGCCTGGCCTGGGCAGCAGGAGTGTGGACAGATGCATTCGGGCGCCGATCCAGCCTTGCTGAGGGGCACTCAGACCCCCACCCACGGATGACTTTTGGGGGCTGAGCCAACCCCCAGGAATACTGGCCGCCAGCACCAGGCCAGCCGGGCTGGGGAGTGTGCAGAGCGTGGTGCCGAGGGGGTGAGAGTGAGGGTTTAAGAGACAAGGTGTTCTTCGCCAAAGAATTTCGGGCGGAGAGATTGGTTATCGTAAATTCAGGGGCTCTGATGGATGAGATTCAGGTCTCCAGGCTTTGTTCGCCCCGGGTCTGATCGGCAGCGAGTCCAAGAAAGCTTTCCGCTTCAGCCGAGCCCTCTAGCTCCCACCTCCACGGTGGGCTGGCCTAGGGCAGGACCCTGCAGAGCCCTGGCCCCTAGGCTGAGTGCTGGGAGTGCCAGCATCCCTCTGCCCAGCCCCACCCCACCCAGCTCTCTGTGCCAGGGACGTTGGCCCCTAACTAGAAGCGGACCTGGCTCTTCAGGCCCTGGGGCCAGACCCTCACAGCCAGCCCCAGGCCTTGTATGTGCCCAGTGGCTTCTCTGTCGGAGGGATTCCCCAAGTTATGCTGGGACTACTGCCCTCTGCCCGACTACCTCCTTCCCCAGGCAGGGTGGGAATGGCTCATAGTTTCCTTTCTAGAGCAAATCCCCAATAAGGGTGATATCTGAACTGTGTTCAGAGTGGAGCCTGCTCACTCTGCAGCTGCCCCTGGAAATCCAGAGGGCTTTTCAGCCCCCGGGCAGAGCAAGGGCTCAGGGAAGGCCCGAGGAGCTGGACTGGGGACTGGTGTGTTGGTGATGGGTTAACTCTGTTGTCAGAACCAAGCCCAGGTGGATCACCTTTATCCACTCAGCACGGCATGGGGATGGGAGAGCCTCTGACCATAGCCTGGAACAGCCCTCCTGACCTCACCTTGTTACTGAGCACCTAGGCCAGACCCTGCCTGTACCATGCCCATACGGTGGCCCAGAGCAGTGGTTCTCAAACTCGGGTGTCTCTGAGAACCACTTGAGGAACCTGTTAGGACTGCAGACTCCCTAGCCCCCAGCCAACCTCAGGGGCTCCAGAATCGGCATTGTTAATAAGTGTATGTGATACAGGTGGTCCCAGGACCATGCGGGCTGATAGGGAAAGCAGTGTGATGATGAGCGTGGGGCAGGGGGGGGGACGGGCGGAAGGGGCCCAGAAAAGCACCCAGAAGAGGTGAGTAAATCTTGAAGAAGAAAGCAGAGGATGGTCTTGATAGCTTACCCAATCAAATGCTTCGTACCAGGCACGCTCTCAGCCTCTGATGGGAATGAACTCATTTAATCCTCCAACGACCCCACTGATCTCAGAAAGGACCAGACTGAAGCCCAGAGGGGTGGGCAGCTTGCCCAGGGTTCTGGGGCTAGTACGTGGCGAACCGGGTCTCATCCTCTGACTCCATCCCACTGCGTTGGGGCCAGGGCACCAGCTCACACAGAGGCTGTGCAGACCCGGGGCTGTGGAGTAGGCAAAGCATGATGGGGGGTTGCTGCTGAATGGCTCAGATCCTAGTGTGTGTGGACAGCTTGGGGTTTGCTGGTGGCGTGTATGGCCGTGACCTTGGTTAGGGCAGAAACCTTTGGGTGAGGTGACCATTGCCATGATGTCGTTTTGAGAGGGCTGAGGCCGTGGCTGGGGTTCCCAGCGTGTTTCCTCGCATTCTGAACACGACAGGACCTGGGGTGTGGAGTGAAGGTGCAGGGCAGAGCTCAGGGAGCAGCCAGGGGGAAGAATTCTCCATGGCCAGAGCCCTGCCCAGCCCTTGGGGTCTGATGGGGAAGGAAGATGCTGGGAGAGGGAATCCGCTCTCGTTAAGGAGCCAGCTAAGAGCTTTGAATCCTTCTTCCCTTTAATTCTCACATCCCCCTGCAACCTGGGCTGATCTAGTCCTACTTACAGGGGTGAAGGCAGAGAGAAGGCTGATAACTAGATAGAGGCCAGGTCTGTCCTTCAGGGATTGTGCTTTTCACTATAGTGGGGCCGCCATGTTCTGAGTGGCCTCGGGTCCTGCCACACAGCTGGACCGATGACCAGGCCCCAAGGGTATGGTGCCAGTCTGGGTGGGGAGGCTCCTAGTGGTCAGCTGGGCAGACTCCAGCCCAACCTGGGCTCTGGGTAGAATGGCCTGGCTTCACGGGACTAGTTACCTGTCAGTGGGTGGCATTCCTTGTGGTGGAGTTCAGAGGAGTCAGCGTCCTGGGTTCTGTGGATTGGCCTCCTGTCGGGGCCCTGATGCTGGGAATTGAGCTTCCGCTGCCCGGAGGACCTGGGGGCAGAGGGGAGCACGGCTTAGAGGAGGACCCTAGATCAGGCGTGGATTCCGGAAGCCCTTTCAGCCTCTCATAAGCAGCACAATCGGTCACAGCCCCTTCCCTGTCTTGTTGGCCACTCTGACCATCCCCTCACCGTACCCCAGTGTCTTCCAGCCCGCGCCTCCCAGCTCATTGATTTGAACCTGGAAACCTCGGGGACCCACAGAAGTCTTGGCTCAGCATGGGCTGTTTTGGTGGAGGAGGGGAGTGTCTGACTTCTGACTACGGCCCCTGGGAAGCTGTTGCCTTCTGCAGAGGGAGGGCTGTGCTGTTTCCCAGTTTTGCAGCCTCTTGCCTCTCACCGGGGACAGAGGGTCTGTGACTGTAAGCTTTTCAGGAACAGTGCCTTTGGATATGACAGAGCTGAAATGCTCTCACTTCCTCTTATGCTTTTTCTTTGAAATGGGAGAGACGATAGTGGCCTCCTGGGCCCATTAGCCCAACCCAGGCTCTGGGTAGAATGGCCTGGCTTCACGGGACTAGTTACCTGAGTGGTTGCATTCCTTGTGGTGGAGTTCAGAGAAGTCAGCGTCCTGGGTTCTGTGGACTGGCCTCCTGTCGGGGCCCTGATGCTGGGAATTGAGCTTCCGCTGCCCGGAGGACCTGGGGGCAGAGGGGAGCACAGCTTAGAGGAGGACCCTAGGTCGGGCGTGGATTCCGGAAGCCCTTTCAGCCTCTCATAAGCAGCACAATCGGTCACAGCCCCTTCCCTGTCTTGTTGGCCTCTCTGACCATCCCCTCACCGTACCCCAGTATCTTCCAGCCTGCGCCTCCCAGCTCATTGATTTCAACCTGGAAACCGTGGGGACACACAGAAGTCTTGGCTCAGCATAGGCTGTTTGGTGGAGGAGGGGGAGTGTCTGACTTCCGACTGCAGCCCCTGGGAAGCTGCTGCCTTCTGCAGAGGGAGGGCTGGGCTCCCCCAGGGCTGTGCCGTTTCCCAGTTTGCAGCCTCTTGCCTCCCACCAGGGACAGAGGGTCCGTGACTGTAAGCTTTTCAGGAACAGTGGATGTGACAGAGCTGAAATGCTCTCACTTCCTCTTATGCTTTTTCTTTGAAATGGGAGAGATGGTAGTGGCCTCCTGGGCCCATTTTACAGACAGGGTAACTGAGGCCACGGCTGCTGGAGGAAGCTGAGCCAGGGCCGGTCCCTCTCAGAATCTTGTGTCTTTAAGCTCTTGTTTTAAGAGGGTTTAGGGAAAGGAGTGGCTGGGGTTGGTCTCCGGGGCGCCTCCCTGGGTTCTCTCCTACCTGAACCAGGCCTGGCGTCTGAGGAAGTTAACGCCGGCTCTTCTGGTTGTGCGTCAGCGTCAGGCCCGGGACTGTCATTTAGAAGGTGGGTCTCTGCAGGGGAAGACGGGGCCTGACAACCCTTCTCCTGGTCGCACCGCATCCTCTGGTTCTTGGGCTGCCCTTGTCCACTTGCGATTCCACAGAGACTCTAGTCCACGGCTGCCTGTGGGCAGAAGGCACTGGGTTCTGACTTGTCTGGGTGGAGCAAAGGCTAGTCCTTCCTGGGCGTGCCCTGGGGCAGTGAGGCCAGCCACTGGCCAGACCAAGCATTGGGGAAAATTGTGCCACTATGGAGACCCGCGGCCCCCTGCCCAGCAGAGCGTCCCCTGAGCGGTGGGGAGGTGGGCCAGGGTCAAGTGAGGGGACACCATCTTCACGCACCTGCCAGCCAGTCGACTGCGGACTCACCTGGAGTTGTCAAGGACAGCAAGAAAAATAAGGGACTTTCAGGGGCAGCTGTGTTTTCTGACTCAAGTCATAATGCCCCTAAAAATCCTTATTGCTCTTGCAGTGGGCATCGGGCAGTGGCTGGCAACCCACCCCTCACCCACCTGGCCGCTGAGGAATGGGAAGGGCTTCCAGGGGTCCAATTGAGACTTGCTGATTATTAAAACGCGTTCGTTGGGCCGATGCATTGCCTTGCATATGTTTTGACCATTGTTCGGTGGGGGATTGGGCATCCGGCTATTCCTGCATGGATTGGAGAGTCTCCTGGGTTTGTGCGGGTGAAGGTTCAGAAGGGCCCAGCTGCACGTGCAGGGCACGAGGAAGGGCGGCCTGTGGGCCAGGTAGGTCGAGGGCCACAGTGTTGGGCTGGCCGGGTGCCCCCTTTCCTGAGAAGCTGAAACCGTTGAGGGGCCCCTGGGCAGGAACTGGCACTGTGTCTTAACACAGAAAGAGCCTCAGTCCCCTCCCTCAGACCCCGTGAGCTGGCCAGTTTGCAAACACGCCTGCAGGGGGTTCAAGCCTCCCCTCCCCTCTCCCCTCAGGTGACCCTGGAGCTTGCTGGGTGTTTTCTCTCCCTATTTCACTTCCTGAATCTCCTCCATTCTCAGCAGGTGCCCCCAACCCCACCTCTTCTGTCCCCACCCCACAGATATTTCGGTTAAGCCAAGGCCTTGAGTGGGGATTGTTAAGCAGCCAAAATATCCATTTGTGACATGCCCGCCCCCCCTTAACCCAGGAACACCAGTCCACAAGCATGTCACCAACCCACCCTGGCTGCCGTGGCTGGGTTGGTTGGGTGTGGTCCCATGCACCAAAAAGTCCCTGGTTTGATTCCCGGTGAGGGCACATACCTAGGTTGCAGGTTCAGTTCCTGGTCTGGATGCATACGGGAAGCAGCTAATCGATGTTTCTCTAAAATCAGAACATTTTTTTTTTTAAGTCACCAAATCCCACAGCAACAGAATCTTCCTGTCTAGCTGAGGCTGAGCCCTGGGCTGCCTGTGGATGGACAGACGAGGCAGTGAACAGGCAACAAGCCCCATCTCGTGTCCCGTTGACCTACTGGTCAGCAGGGGCGAGTCACCCTCCAGGTATTTCTCAGGTTCCCTCCCAGGTGCCGACTCGAAAGCTCTCATCACTCAAGAAGACCATATGTGGAACCTCGACCGCCATGATCCTCATTCCTGGCCAGCCAGGCCCCTTGTTGCCCGGGCCCTGGTCGTCTGAGCCTGCCTCCACACCAGCTCTCCCAGACAGTTTCCAAGGGGCTGGATTTGCACCGGATCCTCCTCGCTTTACTGCCCAAGGGGCGGGGCAGCTCCAAGGTAAAGTTATCAAGGGGCTGTGGGAGCAGTGTTTATGGAGCTTTTGTGGAAGGAGATTCTCAGGTTACAGTGGACACGGGGTAATACACCACGTTCCATCCTCATCAGCTAAGCATTTTCTAACTTCAAATTAATTGTCCCTGTGGCCCCTTTGACCTGCCCTTCCATCTCCCCCAAAACTCCTTGTTCCTGAGTGTGCTCCTCAGTCTTTACCCCAAAACATTTGCAAAAGACGCTGTATCAATTTTTGAAAAGGCAATACATCAAAAATAAAATACTGTCCCCCCACCCCCATTACAAAAGAACTGCCTTACACGGTAGAACATTTCAAAAATACTAAAGGATGAAAAAGGCTCATAAATGCCCAAGGCTGGGGATAATGTCTGCTAATGAGGTACATCCTTCCAGCATTTCCCCCTGTGCGTGTACACCCCCATCCAGTTAGCAGAACTGAGGCTTTTAAAACGGGCGAGGCTCGTCACCCATTTGAGTGATGGCTCTGTGCCCTGGGGAGCCAGAAAGTCTCTATTTTCTCTTTGCCACGTGGGCTGATGGACCATGGGCTGAAGCATGCCTCCAGCCAGGGAGCTCAGAGACCTCACCTCGTTGGAGGGTGTTGGAGCTGCACTGGGTCTCTCCAAATGGATGAAGTTTGTTGGGGAGGATGCTAGAAATGTGGGCTGTTGCATTGCTTCTCCACCTTAGTCACCCAAGACTCACTGTGTTAAACACACACCCCACGGCCCGGGCCCCACCCCTGACCACTTGGCTCTGAATTGTTGGGGGTTGGCATCTGTGTTTGTTTTCCAGATGGTCCTCAGCTGATGCTGTTAAGCAGCCAGAGCACTCCGCTATCTGCCCACAAGTGAGAGGCAGGAGAAGGCTGCTCCAGCTGTGCCCCCAGAGGCGGATCAGGCGATATGACCATTTGCAGTTGGCAGACTTTCACTTCCTGTCTTTTCTCGGCTGCTCAGAGTCATCCTTTGATCCTCATTTTACAGAAGGAAGACCGAGGCCAAGGAGATCAGGAGACTTGCCCGAGGACACACAGCTAGGATGTGGCAGAGGTGGGGTTGAGGTCTGCGGCTCCTGACTCCCAAGGTCAGTGCTCTGTCAGTAATTGTTATTTGTATTGAGCTTATATAGTTATAACAAGCATATCAATGCTTACTAACCCATAGGTTACTGTGATGATGAAATACTGGAGGTGGGTGGGTGGGTGCCACTATCTCCTGGGGGGTTGTCCCTCAGTGTCCGCAGTGCTGCGTGCTTGGGTGGGTGGGTGCCACTATCTCCTGGAGGGTGTGTCTGCCTCACAGGGAGACTGGGGGGTTGTCCCTCAGTGTCCGCAGTGCTGCGTGCACTGGCCAGCCTGGGCCCACAGCCTGCCCCACTCAGCCCGCTGCACTGCCCCATTTTCAGAGCATGCGGCCCACTGGTTCCCTGCTCGCTGCCTGGACAGAGGCATCTCAGGAGCGCAGCCTGCGTGGGGCTTGCTCATCCGGGCCCTGCTCCAAGCTGGCGGCCCTTAAGGATCAGGACCCCTGCTGGGGTGCATAGGTCTACTGTGCCTGCCCCTCTCTCTTTCCTACAGAGCTGGACTCCGAGGACCTGAGGGTCAGCTGGGCAGGATGCCAGTGCAGGGAACTAACGGGCAGGCTCATTGTCAGCTCCAGGAAGCAGTCGGCTGTGCCCCGGGCAGGGCTGCAGGCCGGAGGGCCAGCCTGCCTCGGACATGGCGGGTGGAGACAGGAGGTGGGAGCCCAGAACACCACTTTCCCAGGCTCTGGGCCAGGCCCACGGGCTTCCTTTGGCCGGGAGGGCCGGGCGTTGGCCACACCTTCCCTCGCCGGGCCTTGGCTCTCTCCTTCCTCTGTCTGGCTCTCGCCCTGCTCCCCGCCCAGCTCTTTGCGGCAGAGTGCACACTCTTGGCAACGACACCCATTTAACCTGCTTCCCAGAAAGCCTGATGGCCAGGCAGGCCTGCTCAGCCAGCCCCGTGATGGAAAACAGGGCGGTGGGCCCCCTCAGGCTTCTCTTGCCCGTATTCCTTGGGGGCTGGATTGGGAGATAGTTCTGCACCGCCTTGGCTTTCCTGGGTCAGGAATAATCTCAGCTCAATTAGCAGCCTTGAGCAATCAGGCTGAGCCACGAGCTTGGAGCTCCTGGAATTGGGGCAGGGCAGGGGAGACAAGCCTTTGCCAGGAGTCTGATCCAGGGCAGCCACTTAGCGGGGGCCCTGGGTAAAGCCCCATCTCTTTGAGCCTATTGCCTCATTGGACACAATAGTGTCCGTAGGAAGGTGCTACATTGTAGGCGTTTTCTGACTATAGATAGGAAGTTGTCGCTCCCTTTCCCTCCCCTTCACCCGAGAACTCTGGGTGGGGCCTGGCATGGAGAAGATGCTCACTTAACACTAGGTGCGCTGCTCAGGAAGTGAGGTTTGAGTGTCAGCGTGCTGGGTGGTACCTTATTGTCCTTGATCTCTGAAGGGACCCCCTTTTGTCAGCTTTCTCTTTGGCCTTCCTGCCCAGACCCTGTTAGGATGGTGGTTCTAAATTGATAAGCTAGAGCCCTCACCCCTTTGCCTTGCGTTCTGGCCCACAGAGGCATCCTTCACCTCCTCAAGTTCATCCTACAAGTCCGGATGCTCAGTTCCAAAGCATTCCCTCTGGGCCTGGGCCAGAGTAGCTGCTACAGATCCTCCCACTCCACCTGCCCACCTCCTCGGGGTGCAGACAGCCCAGCACAGGCGGGAAGGGCTTTCTGGTGGGGAAGAGGTTAGCACTTGATTTCTGTCTTGACTCTTGTATCTAACAGGCAGAGCCCTGTGACATCACAGAAAAGCAGCCTGGGAGAACCTCGAATGAGTCTGGGGCCTGTCCCTGACGACCTGGCCACTGCCGAGGTGCCTGGAGGTAGGAACAGTTGATGACATTGCCCCGGGGATGTGGAGAGAGGTGCTGGGCAGCATCCATGGCCATTCTGACAATACCTGTCTTTTCCTTCAGAGGATCACCCCTCCCCCACCGAGTACCCCTGGTGTTCAGGTGGGGCCAGTCCCACCCCCTGGCTTGAGAGGCAGGATGTGTCCCAGGATGGACGCTGAGACTTCCCCTCGGGACTTTTGCAGCAACTATGAGGAAAGAGGCATTCGCTTTTTGTGGGAGTTGCCAAGTGGACAGAAGTTGCCAAGCTTGGAACTGCTGGTGGCCATCCTGTTCTCTGCTTGAGGATAAAGCCAACAAGGAGCAAAGAGAAGGCGAGTGTATTCTATCCAGACATCAGTAAGCCCCTGGATCAAGCCGTGCCTGAAGCCAACTGCACCCCTGGACTAACCTGATTATATGAGCCAATGCTGTTTTTTCCGAACACTATCTGGAGTTGGGTTTCTAGCATAGAAGGGGTCCTAAGAACGGCAGTGTTTTTCTTTGATCTCATTTTTAGAAAGTCAACATTGAGGTATACTTTACATGCAATAGATTTCACCCATGTTAAGTGTCCAATTCATAAGTAGTTACAGTTACACCCTTGTCACTATCACCAGCATTCAAGTTCCCTCCTTCCTCTTTATGGCCCATTTTCCCAACTCCAAAGAACCACTGACCTACCTATATTCTAAAGGTTCATTTTGCCTTTTCTAGAATTCCATATAAATATCACATAGTGTGTTCTCTCCTGTGTCTGGCTTCTTTTAGTCAACATGTTTTGGAGATTTATTCATGTTGTTGCGTGTACCAATAGTTCATTCCTTTTTGTTGCCAAGTAGTGTGCTACTGTATGGACGTAGCACAGTTTGTTTATCCAGTTATGGGATGATGACCATTTGGACTATTTCCAGATTTTGACTATTATGAATAAAACTGTTACAACAGTCATGTGCAAGTCTGTTGTGTGGGTACGTGTTTTGATTTTTATGTTATAGTTGAAGAAGCAGGTTCAGAGAGGTAGAATGACTTGTCCAAGGTCACACAGCTGATGGGCCCCGTGGCTTGCGAAATGGCGCATGGTGTTTGGGTGTTCCTGATAAAGGGCCTCCTGGGATCCCGGTGTCCAATGGGAAGGACTGTCAAGATGAGCTGTAGCCACGGTCCTCACCTTTTCATCCCCCTCGACCGATGTTGTTTTTCCCGTGTGGATACCACAGTTTGAAAGATTACATCTACTAAACAGACTTCATTCACAAAGCCACAATCCACTTCCCCAAATGTATTTCTTAAACTTGTAAAGACCAACTACGTGTCTGAGCTGACAATCACTGTGAGCAAGCTCGGATGAAGTCATGGAGTTGAGATCCAGCCAAAAAATGAAGATCTTTTTGGTCTTTTTTTTTTTTACTTGGGACCAACAAATCATGGCTCCATCCCAGAAGTCCAGAGGATGTCAATGAGACCCACCAAAAAATGAAGATCTTTTTGGTCTTTTTTTTTTTACTTGGGACCAACAAATCATGGCTCCATCCCAGAAGTCCAGAGGATGTCAAGTTGATAATTCCCAATGTAGTCCAGCCTCATTTCCCAGGTGCTCCAGCCGGGTCTTCTTGGTCTTCTCTCTGCTCAGGTCAGCCCTTGGAGGTCAAGGACAGTGTTTTCCCGATGCTCATGTAGTGACCTCACCGTGGGCCACATCCCTTGGGACTCAGTCTCCCCTGGGTCCAGCTGTGCTGACCCCACCTGCAGGCCTTCCGGTTTTGTGAGCCAATACAGCCTTTCCTTCATCTGAGGCAGCTTGCAATGGAGAGTCCAGGCTAACACAGCTTAGCCAGGACAGCACCCCAAGTCCCCCCAGGTAAGATCACGACCACCAGTTCAGCTGACCTCCTAGGGGTCAGACACTACTCACCGCTTTGCATGCATTACCTCCAATCCTCTCAACAACTCAGGCGACAGACTGTTACTCCCCTCTCACTGGGAGGGTAACTGGGGCATGGAGAAGTCACAGCACGAAGCTAGAAGGTGGCTGTATAGCACGCATCTTGCGTCCCTCTAAGATTCTCTCAGCTCCCCTGTCCATCACTCCTGTTTGCTCTGCCTCCATGGCTGATAGACTCCATGGGATCCTCACAGATCCACACCCGAAGCTGACCAGCTGCCTTCCCAGAGGCTGAGCACCGCCCCCCCTCCAGACCACATCCCAGGATAAGGGGGCTGATTCCTGAACAGCCGCCAAAGGGGCTGGAGAACTCTGCCCAGAGAGTGGAGGGAGTCAGTTCTTGGATGACCTCTGAGCAGTAGGAGCCGAGGTGGGAGGAAGAACTCCCTCTCCCAGCCTGGAGGCACATTTTCCATATGTGGTTGGTTGTATAGCAGTGGCAGGATGGTTCCACGGCATCTTGCGCTGCTTCCCATCCCTCTCCACCTCCCTCTCTTTTCCCTCACCTGCTGCCCTGGAATTCCACCTCCACGTTAAAAGTCTCAGCACTTAATCCCTTGCTGAAAGCTCTGTTTTCCAGGGAACCCAAGCAGTCTGGCTGCTGGGTCTGCACCACCTGCTTCAGCGAACGTTGAACGAGAGGATAGATGTCGTTGCCGTGGGGCTTGGGGAGTGGCTAGGGGACAAGGATGACGCCACATGCGTCAGATCGTCCCGTTTACCGCTCCCCCTTCATTCACTAGGTCCAGTCAGTGACATTGTCTCTGACCTCCTACTGTAGTTCAGAGGCTGCGGCCTCCCCCCCTACCTGCTCTCTCTGGTACAAAGGAATCCATGCTCCTCCACTTACTAGGCATGCAAAAGCTGGCAGGTACTCAGCCTCTCTGAGCCAGCCTCTGCATCTGTACATGGGACCGCAATGGCCTCATCACATAGGACTGTTGGGAGGCGTAATGGACACGTAGTGTTGTGCTTGGAGCATAATAGGTGTAGGGCCTTGCAAGGCGGCCTAGTGACAGCCCTGCTCTCTTTTGGACACCACCTTCCTTCGTTCTCAGTCCCTATCCCGCCTATCCCTGTGCCCTATCCCACCCCATTCCCACACCTACCGCCAGACCCCGGCCAATCAGCACATCCCAGTATTGACTGCAATTACTGGCTCAGGCCTGGGCATCAGACCTAAGTTGAACCGGTCCCTCTAACAGCGCCCCAAAGTTTCTGGAACAATCAGGAAAGAGGTGCTTCCTCTTTGCTGAGATCATTAGCCTGGAGCTACCATGCGGCCGTTGGAGAAGGAAGCCAGGAGAGTGAAGTCAGGAGAAAGCAGAGCCAAGAGATGGAGCGGACCTGGAGGCCTGATGATATCTTCGGAGCGCTTGGTCCCGGTTGTGCCAGAAGCCAGTTAGCTCCTGGTATTTTTAGAAATTTAATACTTAAACCAAAAATGTCCTTTTTAATTGGCTTAAGCTCGTTCGAGTTGAGTTTCTATTAAAACGGAAATGGTCTTGACTAATACAGGTGGTTCCCTGTAAAAGGTTGCTACTGTTATCACAATTCCTGTTCCTGGTGTAAGCACATTAGCAGGACGATGCCACCATGGGGACGCACTGTCCAGGTTCTCCCAGGGGCCACTGCCACTCTCACACATGACACCTTGGATCTCAGCTCCCAGAGGGCAGGGGGACTCATGTTCGCTGCTGCCCCAGAGTAGGTGGCTCACAACATCTGTTGAATGAACAAATGAAGCAGGCCCATTGCCCACTGTCTCCTCCAAAGTGCCCTGCCTTCTAGCCCCCAGGCCGGGTCCGCATTTGCCCTCTCTGCTTGTCCTTGACTGATACCTGAACCCACTGAGGCGTCTGCCAGGAGTCTGTCTTGGCAAACTGAGCTCTTATTTTCAATGTTCTCTCTAGGGCTCATTTCTCCCTTTACCCATTCATATATTCAGTTTTAAAATCTATTAAAAACACCCAGTGTAGATCCCTACCTTACACTACTCACAAAAATTAATTCGAAATGGATTAAGGACTTAAATGTCAGACGAGAAACTATAAAACTCCCAGAAGAAAACATAGGAAATTGTCACATGGGTCTTGACAGTGATTCTTGAATATGACACCTAAAGCGCAAGCAACAAAAGAAGTAGACTGCAGCAAACTAAAAAGCTCCCAAGAGAGAATCTTAAAAGCAGCAAGAGAAAAGCAGTTAGCTACCTACAAAGAAGCGCCCATATGACTGTCAACTGATTTCTCAATAGAAACTTTTCAGGCCAGAAAGGAGTGGCAAGAAATATTTCAAGTGATGAATAGCAAGGACCTACAATCAAGATTATTTTACCCAGCAAAGCTATCATTTGGAATTGAAGGTCAGATAAAGTGCTTCACAGACAAGAAAAAGCTAAAGGAGTTCATCACCACCAAACCAGTATTACATGAAATGTTGAAGGGTATTCTTTAAGAAGAGGAAGAAAAAGAAGAAGAAAAGATGAAAATATGAACAATAAAATGGCAATACATGCATATCTATCAACAGTTGAATCTAAAAATCAAAATAAACGAATAAGAAATCTAATGAACAAAATAAACTGATGAATAAAATAGAATCAGAGGCATGGAAACATGGAACAGATTGACGAGTCTCAGAGGGAAGGGGTGAGGAGGTATGGGAAGAGATTAACCAAAGATCTATATGCATATATGCATTACCTATGGACACAGACAATAGAGTGGTGAAGGCCTGGGGCGGGGCTGGAACCCGGTGGAGGGGGGCAATGGGGGGATTGAAGGGGAGCATCTGTAATACTCTCAATGATAAAGATTTTTTAAAAATAAAATACATTTTTAAAAAGCTCTGCACAGCAAAGGAATGGTCAACAAAATGAAAGGACAACTTATAGAATGGGAAAAAATACTTGCAAATCAAATATCTGATAAGAACTAAATACCCCAAATATATAAATAACTCATACAACTCAATAGCAAAAAAAAAAAAAAAAAAAAAAAAAAAGTAATAATCTAATTAAAATGGGCCAAGGACCTGAATAGGCATTTCTCCAAAGAAGATAAACACATGGCCAACAATACATGAAAAGATGCTCAAGATCACTAATCATTAAAGAAATGCCAATCAAAACCACAATGAGATATCCCCTCACACCTGTTAGAATGACTATCCTATAAAAAAGACAAGATTGCCCATGGTCTAATAAATGCTGGAGAGGATGCAGACAAAGGGGAACCCTTGTGCACTGTTGGTGGGATTATAAATTGGTTCAGCTACTATGGAGAACAGTATGGAGGTTCCTCAAAAAAAAAAAATTAAAACTATAATTACCATGTGATCCAGCAATTCCACTTCTGGGAATATATCCAAAGGAAATGAAAACACAATGTCAGAGAGATATATGCACCCCCGTGTTCATAGCAGCATTATTTACAATAGCCAAGACAATCTTTGTCCCAATGTTGGATGAATAAAGAAGCTGTAAGATATGTGTGTGTGTGTGTGTGTGTGTGTGTGTGTGTGTGTGTACACACAAGGGAATATTATTCAGCCATAATCCTGCCATTTGTGACAACATGGATGGGCCTTGAGGGCGTTATGTTAAGTGAAGTCAGCCAGAGTAAGACAAATACCATATGATCTCACATGTGGAATCTAAAAACAAAAAACAAACATAGAAAAAGAGATCAGACTTGTGGTCACCAGAGGTGGGGGTTGGGGGGAGTGGATGAAGGTGGTCAGAAGGTACAGACTTCCAGTTACAAGATAACTAAGTGCTGGTGATGTAATGTACATGACGACTGTACCTAACACTGCTGCACGGTATATCTGAAAGTTGTCTAGAGAGTAAATCCTGAATTTTCATCACAAGGAAAAAATATTTTTTCCCTTTTTTTGGTATGTGTATATATATGAGATGATGGATGTTTGCACAACTTACTTTGGTAATCATTTCATAATATATATATAAGTGACTATGCTGTACACCTTAAACTTACGCAGTGCTGTGTTTT